TTTAATTTAAATAAATATTTTTATGTAGTTTTAACATTGGAAAGTTTTTGACATATATGTACATTTCATTTAATTTTGAATAAGCTGATGCTAATTTTATTTTAAATATTTTTAAATATTTTATAAATAAATAAATAATAATTAAATATTTTACAAATAAATATACATAGGTAATTTGTATTATTGTAGAATTTCCGTTTTTATTTTAGTATTTTACGATGGACGAAAATATACTTAAAAAAAATATTTTTAAAAGCGCTAAGTCGTATACAAACATATATATTTTAAATTTAGAATCCTATGCTGCAATTGTAATAAAAAAAAACTATTGAACTCATGAAATGCAAAAACTTGCAAAAAAATGTAGCATTTATTTCCTTTAATTTTGGATTTTTTAGTTGCTACTATTTCAAAATGAGGAACTTCTAAAATGGCATTAACCGAGAGTCTAAAAAATAGTTGATAATACCATAAAGCAATTGGAACGTGTTCCTAGAGAAATTAAAGTTTTAAGTAATTCAAAATTTCAAAATATACTGAAGAAAATAACAGGATTTAACGCTGTAGCTTCGGTAAGAGATATACTATTAAACACAACTCCAAAAAAACAATTTAGAAATAGATTACAATCCAAATTAATTAATATGTATGAAATATTCACCTATCACTTCTGTTGATGCGGAGAGATCATTTAGCTGATATAAAGCAATAATAAGATCGAATCACCGGAATTTTAAATTTGAAAATCTCAAATTATATGTCATATCTAACTCTTTATTCCACGAAAACTATTTCGATGATTCAAAATAAAAATGTTTAACTTGTATTATGTATTATTTATAAATTATAGTAAATTCTATCTTATATTCAATTAAATATTTCAATATTATAAATAATTATTTTTGAAATAATATACAAATATATATTTAAATATTTTTAATTTTGTACTAAATTAAAATCCAATTCCTATTAATTACTTATATTCCGGCCAAAGAGAGAATGTAGAATATACATCTTGCAAACAATTTATTACTAAATACCATTTTTAAAACTTTTTTTATACAATTTTTGAATATTATGTACATAACAACAAATTCAATCTTAATAAATACAACACCTAATTTTTGATTTATTTAGATAAAGTATAAATAGTATAATATGTAGGTAATTTTAAAATATACTTAACATTATTATGAAAGTAATAAAATTATATGAATAATCAAAAAAATTAGTTTCAACGAAAAATTCAGTTTGAACTTTTAAATAAACATTTAAATCTATCCTGGTAATATAATATAGTATTATTTCCTTACTAATGATTTTCATTAAAAAAAAATGATACTATTATTTAGTATAAGGCACTTAGAATAAGGTCTAAAAATAATATTTGTCATATTTAATACAATAAGTGATAAGTTATAAATACAATATATCTATATTTTATCACAAGATTCCGAATTTGTATGCATTTACATATTTGTAATGAGTGTATGCCATTTGATGGGAGTAAGAAATGTGAACGATTTGTATAACAGAAGAAAAATTTTATTTTGCACATAAATGCATATTTTTGGGATGACTGTATATTTGAAAAATGTCGAATATTTAAGCATATTTTGTATTATAGTTCATTAAACCAATTATTTTATTTTTTATATTACAGTAGAAATAAGATAATGATTTATCAAATATACAAGATAACAAAACTTCTAGGTAATACAAAATCTAATTTTATTCATAACTGTATCACAAAAATAAAGGAATTCAAGTATTAAAACAAATCGGATTAATTATATCAGAAAAAACAATGAAATATAGCTTTCAGAAAACTTCATTATTTTCTCTATGGCCAATAGCAAGGGTGTACCCAAGGGGGGTGTTTTCGGGTCCGGACGCCCCCACCATTGAAATTTCTACATACTAAACGATTTAATAATAATAGTATATAGTGTATTTTAATACCCCATTATCTTCAATATATAAAGTTTATAGATTATTTAATATACCTATAATGTATAAACCATACTTTAGTATATTAACAGTAATTTGTTGGTATTGAGTTAAACTATAATTATAATTAGAGAACAGATAAAATAAAAATTTTGAACCCCCCACCCTCCACCCCCCGTAAAAAATTTATGGGTACACTTCTGGCTATTATGAAACATGTATCACTGACATCAGTATATGTGGAAAGATCATTTAGTATTTATAAACATATAATACATGATAAGACAAATATAACACTTGATCACATTTTTTATTATGATTCCTAACTAAAGTATTTGTTCTGTTTGTTGAATATGTGTGTAAATATTTGTTTTAATTAATATTATAAGTTAATATTTGTACTAGAGATATTATGATAAGTTTATCTAATTGAATAGTATATTAGTATATTATAGTAATATTTATGGGGAAAAAAAAATAAAATATATTTAATGCATTTATTTTGGGTAAGAGCATATTTTGCATATTATTAAAAATAAATTAAAGCATATCAAGCGCATATTTAAAGATTTTTTAATGCATAAATGCATAGTATTTTAAGCTTTTTAAGTGCATACAGGTATTAATCCGAACCCTAGTGATAACCAATAACGTTGAATATATACGTTCTATATATCAAATCGATATTGATATAATATATATATATATATATATGTATGTGTTATGACCATAATATAATTATTAATCATTAACACTTTTGCGTTATCAACCTATACTTCAGATTAATAATTTTTTTATACTTTTAATGCAAGTATTAACATACATTTTACGATTAAATGAATATTTGAACCGTGAAATTAAACTTAAAAGGACGGTAAACTAAAGTTAAGCATGGAAGGGGAACGCCATACTCCTTCTTCCATCCCACTTTAACCACTGGTTAAGATGCTCGGTTTTTATCTATCTAATCGGATAAGACGCTCTTTTGTTCAATAGATTACGATAAAGTGCAGTTATTGACTTTTTATTTGTTATTACTTGTTTACAAGTACTTACTTATCGTTTTATTTTACCACATTACCTACAGTATCTCAACGAGTAGGTATGTATTTCATCGTATTATGAGGTTTAAGACGATCAAGAAGAAAAAGATCCAGACAATCCAATATCGAATCCTACAATTACTATTGATTTGCATCACCTATCAGAAACTCGAAAAGTGAAAAATAGATAATTTTTTTAATATGTAATAAAATAGAATATATAATAATAATAATAAAAATACATATGTTTATTGATAAATGTATGTATTGATTTTTTAATTAAATTCAATAGTAAAATATATATGTAATTATAATTTTTAAATGTCTTACCTGTTAAACTATGTTCAATAATAAAATAATAAACTCGATATTTCAATCACTTTATTTTTTTTCAATTTCTGCATTAGACGTTTTCCCGCTTAAGACGCTCTAATGAGGTGGTCCCTCAAAGAGCGTCTTAATCCATTTATACTTGATTCCAAAAAATATTTTTCTTAGAATATAGTATTGAAAATGGATATTTTGAACGCGTTTAAACATTATTAGAAGTGAACTTCAAAACTTTTAATGAATCACTTAAGGTGTATCTTTTTAATTTATTATGATATATTATAAAAAATGTAATTTACTTATAAGTATTTTATTTATAAGACACTAGGGCGTATTTGAGTTGAGACCATGGGGAGGGGGAAACTAATTTTTCTTCAATACAAACTTAAAAATAATTTACAATTCATTACAGGGGGAGGGAGGTTTCCGGGTCCGGAGTCCCCCAATGAAATTTCTATATACTCAATGGTTTAATAGTAAATAGTACATAGTGTATTTTAATTTCCCATTATCTTGAATATACAAAGTTTATAGATTATATAATGTACCTATAATGTATAAACCATACTTAATTTATACTGCTTTTTTAATATTATTTATAATTGTTAGTTAAATAATGTATTTTTTTTATAACATTTTACTACCAAATAAAAATTGATTTCAAATTATAGTACCAACCTACCTATTATAGTAAACCTTTGTGAAGGATATGTGTGATGTGTGTATAACTATTGTGAATATTACTATAGTTATTAATAGTAATTTGTTGCTATTGAATTAAACTATAATTATAATTAGAGAACAGATAAAATAAAAATTTTGGACCCTCCCCCTAAAAAATTCATGGGTATGCAACTGGTTCATTACCTACAGCTCATTTTCCTGTTATTCATTCGAGTGAATAAATAAAAATACAAGCACCAAATTGAAATAAATATATTTAAAACCTACTGCATATAAAATATATATTAATAATAACAACACAAATAGTTCTTATATTAAAATTGTACCTTCAGTCTGAATCCTGTATAAAAAAAAACCACAAATAATCATAGTAGTAATAGTGCCTATTAATTATTTTTTAAAAACTTTAAAAAACAATTTAGATAGGTAACTTAATTTAACAAATATCGAAGTAGAAGACATAAGGTTGGTAAGTATTCAAATAACAAATTCCAAATTTCCATTTTAGCAAATTTGTTGATTGTTTCATTAATGGATACAATAATATTTTTATGCACATGTAGCAAAGCCAAACCTGTTAGTCTATGCTGGCCTATTCTTGATCTTAATCATATTTTCAATTTACAAAAGTATATTTTTGGCCAATATTTGCAAGTTAAAGAATATTGAAACAAATATTGTCAGTTATTATGATTATTATTTGGGTTAAGAGCTTCTAGCTCTATGAAATACACAAATATGCATGCATTTGTGCACAAAAAAAATGACTAAATCTAAATATCTACAAAAAGCACAACAAAAAGTATCAGATATTATGCTGTAAAAAAGAAATAGGCGAGTAAAATTATTAAGGACTTATATAGCTCTAATAAATACAAAAATATACAATATGCATAAATGCACCAATAAATGACTAACTAGTAAATATGTGGTAAAAAAAAGTGTTACTTTATATTATCTGATAAATACCTCGGTTATGGTTGTAAATGTCTATAATCGTAGCAATATTCGGGGAAGATAATACCACTATTCATTCCACGGGCGCATGTAAACTCCGCCAGAAAAAAAGCAGGTAAAATTGGGTTCATGTAAATTCCACCACTGAAAAAAATCAGGTAAAATTGAGTTCATGTAAATTCGGTCAGTGAAGAAAATCAAGTACAGTAGAACCTCGATTATCCGTCCCCCGATTAATCGTCTTTCTCGGTTAACCGTCGGGCCACTTGTGTATGAATAGGTTATAAATAATAATATATATATAATTCGAAATTTTCCGATAATATCAACTAGATAAACTATAGGTATACGAGTATATGTATATACATATTTATTTAATGGGTGAAATAAAAACAGTTAATTGAGATATTTTGTTGATGCATTTTGTTTTTGAAAAGTTAGTCAGTTATATATTGCACGTGTGTTCGTTCGATTAAATAAATAATATGTATGTATGTTTAAATTTTTGTTGCTCGCTTAACCGTCTTTTCGATTATCCGTCAAAGCTCTGGTCCCGAGACTGACAGTTAATCGAGGTTCTACTGTAGTAGTATAAAATTAATATGATATATTATTAAAAAAAAAAATATAATATAATATAATATCATATCGTTCACATTAAATATTTAAAGCATTGTAAAAAAAAATCATAGTAAATAATCATTATACCTAATAATCTAAAAATATATAGTTATGTCATGTATTCGTATGTAAACTAAAATTATGTGATACAATTTGTAAATATTCTAAGTCTTGTATTACTCCATTAGTACACCTATTTATAGCATCCTGTACCACTGTCATTTTTTTTTTTTTTTATATGAAATTTTTTAGCTTATTTACTTGAGATATGCCATTTAGTTTTATATAAGTATGGGTTTGAAATTCGGTAAGACTTTACTAAAAATGTGAACACTCGGTTGACTGTTATAAAATGGATTTCTTAGATGACTATAAAAATATTTACAGGCAAAACACAATAAAAAAACTGGCGGAGTTTACAATCATTTGGTTCCACAACCAAAAATGTTATAAGAAGATAAACAAAAATTGATACCCATGACCCCAAATTGACATATTATTGAATTTATTATCATATTATAATGACAGACTAGTAATTTATATTCCTAATTATTTATACATTACATTTTTTAAATAAATCAATGTATTATATTCAAAAAAAAATATGAGCCATGGGGGGCAAATGCCCTCTTCGCCCCCTCCTCAAAAACGCCTTTGATAAGACAATATTAATTGTATAAAAGTGCATCACAAGTAGGTATCATTGATGTTATTATATTGTTACAGTAGCAGGGGTGTATTTAGGGAGAGGTGATATGGGTGTTAGAACACCCCCTATCGACCTTATTTTATGGTATTTCACCAAATTGTTAACTTACTTTGATCATTTGAATAAACCTTGTATACAACTTGTAGGTTTTACATATGCTGTCTTAATGTAATCATTTTCATTTATATAAGTACATGGAATTTATTTATGTAATACGGGGAGGGGGCAAGGTCTCTACTTACCATAAGTCTATTAAATTTTAAAACACCCCCGTTAAATGAATCCTGGATACGCCACTGTACAGTAGTGATTATTGATAATTACTGTACATTTTTATTATTTTCTTAGTAATTAAAATGATTTATTAAATACAGTTTTCATTTATGATTAAAGCTTGAACCAGTCAGTAGACTGAAAGAACTTGAAATTAAATTGCGAATAGAAAAATTTGTGAAATTTATCACACATGATAAAGTATGATTAACATATAAGTACTTACTTAACTATTGAGATGAAGTTTAAATACTTATTTCACATAAAGCACACTATCGTTAGCTGTCACTGCAGTATATATATACAATGCTCGACTTGGAAAAATTAAAGAAGGGTGACTCTATTTATTTAAAAAAAAGAGCGTACTCAAAACTTATTAAGCGTTATATTTATAACATAATAATAGTAGGGGGACGCTAAAATGTCTGTAAATTAGTTGGGGTACTCCGTCCCCTTGCGTCCCCCCCTCAAGTCGAGCACTGTATATATATATATATATATATATACAAATATGAATTATAAACTTTGGTTCAGGTTGCATGTTGATGAAATCCAGTGTTTGAAAAAATGTTGTTCGTGAACTGTCCTTTTGGACAGTAGACCATTGGGCTTATCCGCCTCTGTAACATCATTAATACAAATTATAATGACATAGATAATGTATTACATCTTATTACATGTGCCTATCATAGGCATGTGTAGACCTGTATTTGTTGGATGCCAACAATACTTTTAGGCCCTATCTTAACAAAACGTGTAGGCATATTTAATAAATTATAATGTATAAATTATTAAATAAACATAACTTTAATTTTCCATTTAATATTATGTAGGTAATATATTAGTCTTAATCAATATGTTTTCCTTGAATCTTGTATACTTTTCTCGAACAGCTTAAATTATTTATGATTTGTACGTTTTTCGTCAACTCAGGAGCGTATTTAGACTTACTTCTAGGGGGGGCTCTCCAATTTTTTCTTCAATCTCAAAATTTATAAGTTTAATTGTTGATAATATTTAAATCAGGTGAATCCTTAATAATTTGTTTTTTTTTTTTTTAATCTAATGCCGGATCCACTTTGAATCGACTTTTGTGTAGTTCTTTTTTAACATCTGTAAGCCCAATTCGGTATTCACAGTAACGTGTAATTTGATTTCGTTATAAAATGATCCTCATTAAAAAAATTTGAAATACGTATCTCACATAAAATCAATTCCTTAAATACGGATTCAGGGTGGGGCCCTATGCCCCCATCCTCTAAAATACGCCCATGAGTTAACTGTGGCTGTAATATTACCAAAAAAAACTTTTTGCACGAAAATTTAGAAAATTTAGTTTTAGTTTTTCTATTACGAAACATCACTCATTCCTTACCAAATATTTTAAAATAAAGTACATTTAATTTAAGGAACTTCAGTTAAGATACAAGCCCCTTACTCATAGACTTACATTGTAGAGCCCCATTTACACTTCGGAGGGTGCCCGGGTACATCCAGCACCTCTCGCGCGTATGCCTATAGTGTTTAAGTAAAATTATACGTAAAAGTAAAATTTATATAAGTAAGCCAAAAATAAATATTTTTTGACGATTCGGAAGAAAGATAGGTATTCGGTCTTTTGACATATTGAATAAACTAATGATTAATAAACTATTGATAAGATAACACATATCAGCTACGAAGATACTATAATATCATATTATTATAAAAGTAGTGTAAGATCTACCCGGTTTCTGAACTATTTTATGATTATGTAAGCGCGAGTCAATTTTTGACCGCAAAATAAATTAAATTTATTAAGATATAATTTTACACTAATTTTTTGAAGTATTTTATTTGATTTGGACTATTAAATTAGTTTTATTTTCTCAAAAAGATTAATTTATTACTACATTGTAATGTAACTCTTTAAAATTTGAATTTGGTTTAAAACATAATATTATGTTATGCGTGTATTGGATGTCATAAAGTAAGAATTTTGAAGTTAGTGAATTAAATGTATTCTGTAAAATCAATTACCAATAGATAAGTAGTTATATATGTTTATTAACATATAAATCACTTGTTGAGAGTAAACATTAGTTGATGTCTTGAAAAATATAAATTTCTGTGTAAACTTTTAATGATTATAGAATATATACAGCTGTCTCAATGATTATGGGTAAATATTTAATAATACAAAATAAATATACTGATAACTTGATATGAAATCAATCATTTAATTTTAATTTTTCAGCTAAAGGAGATTGATAACATGATACAAATTAAACTTATACTTGATTCTGGCTGATCTTGAAAGAATATACAACAATTTTCAATAACTTGGAAAAATCTTTTAATGAAGTAAGTTGAAGTGTTTATTAAAATGAAAATATGAAAATATTTAAATCTTAATAATAATCTTATTACAAGTCGCAGATCGATTATAATAATAATCTTAAAACTATGTAAGAAAATGTGATATTAAAATATTATAAAATTTTTATAGCTATTAATATAATTAAAATATGTTATTATTTTGAAATAAAATAATTATAAAATTGTAAATAAATTTTCAATGTATAAACTATGTGTTATAAGTGTCAAATTAATTTTTTTTAATGTTTTAACTATACTTTACTAACTATTTTTGAATGTCAGAATATTGATGTATGTATATTTTCTTTTAGATAATAGTATTTTTTTTTTTTTTTTTTTTTGAGACATGAAGTAGTAATTTATTTACAAGATTCATTTAACTATTGTTATATTTGAAATATTTATAAACCTTAAGTATGACTAAAAATTCTGATTTTTCACTGCGAACCTTCAAAATGTTCTATTAATAAATTATAAATTAATTTTAACAAACTTTTCAATATTTATTAATATGTTTTAGTGCTACTTAAATGAGTAATTATTTAATAGTTTTATTTTTTATAGTAATTTTAAAAAAATATATTTTTAAATTATGAATTATTTCATTATTTTTTGTATTTTTGTAGGTACAAAAATTAAAAAAGAAATATAAAATAATTGACTATTGTTGGAATGTTTAAATATTGAAAATATAATTAATCAAGAATTGAAGAATAAAATTATGCTGTTAATTTGATTACACTATTAAAATCCTTAGGTAAACTAAAATATTAGAAATACCACAATTACAATTCAAATTATCTTATCAGAATTATTGTTGTTGAAAAAATAAATAATCATTTTTGTATTTATAAAAAAATTATATGAATAATAAATAATAATTATATAAATAATTGCAGTGGTTTTAGAATTAAATAGGTTATGTAAATCACTGCATATTTCTTATATATAATACAATTTTTTTTTACCTAAATTGTTTTTATTATGATACTATCTTAAATAGTTTACTACTTTTTAATAAGCACCTATAGTTATTTAATTAAATTAACTGAGTGTGTGTAGCAATTGTGTATGTACAGCTATAAATTATTTTTTACCCTCAATAAACATATATGTTATAGGTATATAATTAATTATGACTTAAAATAATATCTAGATATATAATTATTTAACCCCAAAACCCTACAAATTACAATGTGTTATAATGCCTATATAACCCAATAATGTGACGTTTGATAAGTATGTTGTATCAAACTGTTTGGCAGGCAGTCCATTTTGTATATTTTTTTTTAAATAAAAGTTCTCTCTCTTACAACAAATTTTACAATTGTATGTATAATATATGTTTATGTTAATTTTTTTTTGTGCTATCGCTTTTGATTATTAATGATTTTCTTCAAAATTCATGTTTACTCATTATAAAATATATCAAATTTTATAATTACTCATCATCTGTTATATTCTAAAATTTTTTTTTAAATTATCAAACACTTTTAATATAGTAAAACAATTAAGTAAAATCTATATTTATTTGCTAATTAAATGTCTTGAATTTAAAATTTAAGAATTTTATCCAAATAAAAAACTGTATCATGATCAGACTAAATTACTGATATTCATTAAATTAAATTTTATATAGTAAGTTTAGATTTATGTGACTGGTGATTTTTTAAATAGTAAAAAGTATGCTTAAAATTATAATATCTTATAGTAATTTTCCAAGTTTTATTATTAATTTATTAATGATTTTCATATTAAGGTTTTGTTTATAGTTTATACTAATAGTTTATAAATTTAAACATTATCATAAGTTTTAATAACTATGACTTTTTCTTTATTTTCTTTCAGTTATATTCTACAGTAAAATAATTCACAGTAAAAAAATTGTGTGAAATTCATAGATTTTTAATTCCAATTCGAAATGTTGATAAGTATGATTTACTTTTTTAACTGTTATTGGGGTGCGCCCCGTATACGCTTCCTTGCAGTGCACCCTGGTAACAAGTTGATAACCCGTTATCGATTTGGCTAAAGTATACGGAATCTTGGTCAGTGGACTGCGCCTTCAGCATCTCCCACTAAATGTAAGCATCAAAAACAATTGTTATTGATTGTAACAGGGATTTATTAATTATATTATATTCTGTGATAATAGAGGTAATCAATTAGTTTTTTTCATAAATATCTGCGGTTTTTTTTTTTTTTAAAACATGATTATATTAATTGATTAAAAAAAAATGTATGGGTAAATATATTTAAAAAAAAAACCTTTTTATTCTATTATCCTTATATAGTTTCTATTTAATCATTTTATGTCATTAAATTTAATAATAACAATCCCTATTAAATGGCCATCTTCAAATATTAAAAAAATAATTTGAAAGTAAATAATTTTTTTAATATTATCAAATTTTTGACAATTTAAATTATTAAAAAGAAGAAAACATTTAATTATTTAATTGAATAATAATTTAATTATCATTTAATTAAACACTTGTAGGGGACTATGTGTGTGTTATAATGAATAAATATAATATGCTGTATTTGCTTACTAAAATTACTGTTATTTTTTTTCCAGATTATTCAATTGTTAGAATTTCAAAAATTAAGAAAAGGAAATTTCACTTGACACAGATAATTTTTAATACTGTAATATACTATATATTAACAAACTACTAAGATTGGAATTTACTATAATTTATTATGTAACAAATTAAATAAAAACCTTATAACTTGTATTTTTCTATATTAAAATTACTAAAAAATATGATATATCTGTCCATGAGTTATTAAAAAAGACTTATTTTAAAAGTCATTATAATAATAATTTGTTATATAGTGTGTAAACAGTAAATGAGAACACTCAATATCTCTGCGTAGAGACCTGCAATTTGAATTCTGTTTTTTAGTTGGTTTTAATTTTTAGTTGGTTATACATTTTTATGATCATCAAATTGTTTTGACTTAATTAGACTTAATTGACAAAAGTTGCGTATCTATCAGATATTTTTTCGTTATTATATGAGTTAAATTTGAGTATGCAAAGGCCATAAACTAATATGTTTACATGTTGTAATAAAGATATTAACTAAAATCAAAACAAAATCAAGAAACAAGCTTAATGTCGAACCCACGATGCGTATTTCACTTACTAACTCTAAATTGATTCATTGGTAAAGCAACATCAAGACCAAGGAAGTCATTAAATTAAAAATTATTTAAAAAACAATACAATATTATTAAAAGAAATGTTTATTTTTAAATATAATGTAATTAATATCATGACTTGTTATGAATACAAGTAATAAGAGTAAAAAATGTTATTCAATTAAGAGTACCAAATAGTTATTTTTTATTCTGCCATTGAATATTATTTATAAAAATGTCGCAGGAAAAATTTGGTAAATATCTTGGGTCGCCACTACACAAAGGTTAAAAACCGATGCTGTATAGTGATATTATAACGTTTATAACCAAACTTGGTTTAATTTTCCAGTATTCAGTTTATCATCGACGATAATGATGCCCGTTTTAGGCCTTGGTCTGTGACTAAATATAAGGATATTTATAAATTTATAATATAAGTGTATAAATGGGTAGGTATATGTATTACATATAAACAAGGCTGGGCATTAACGAGTTAAAAGTTAAAATTCAGTTAAAACGTTAAGTTAATTAACTCGTTACTTTTTTTAAGATTAACGTGTTAAATTTAAGTTAATTTTATTTAAAAGTCTCTAAATTAAGTTAATTTTAGTGCAAAGAATAATACAAATTATTAAAAGTGGTTTTTAGAATACTTATAATTTACTATTTTAATAGGAATTTCTTGTAGACGAAAATGATATGAAAAATAACTTTAATAGTCATTATATGGGCTATATTTTATCATTATATTTTTATAACATTGTTATTGTATAAACACTATAAACCCATGGAAATCCTAAGAATATTTTGTGAAAATAGTAAATACCATGAGAGTGAGTGTCGATGAGGGATTAATCACAAAACAACTGTGGTATAATTTCCAATTTAATTTCAATATTCAACTAACATGTGTTCTTTTCACATCTCGTTAGAATTTATAATATAGTGTTATTAGTTTATTACTTTATTAGCTTATTATATTTCTGTGAAAGTTTATTATTTCTTTATTAATTAATTAGTTATTAATAGTTATTAATTAGCTAGTTAATACTTTTATGTATTATTTTAAATTTCCCCAGTAATTTGCTTGAGCGTAAAAAAAACTAGTATTACCTATGTATGCAATTTTTTATTCTTACAAATTAGAAAATTTTAACTTTAAACTGAGTTAATTTACTTTTTTTTCAAAGTTAACTTTTAACTTAACGAGTTAACGAAAAAAATATAAGTAACTTTTAATTTAACTTAACTTTATTATTTTAAAATAACTTAACTTAACGAATTAAAAAAAAAATCGTTAACTGTCCAGCCTTACATATAACTGTTATTGACGGTCAATATACTTTATTATGGTAATCGTTATAAAGTTTATATCAAGAAAATTGATATACGAGTTATTTTCATACGATTATTACTGTTATAATGTGTAAATATTCGTCACTCTACATATAGTAATCATGGTCATATATGGTGACTAGATATCCAGATATTTAATGTAATAATTATTTATGGAAAAAATAGAGTAGGTATATATAGTGAGTATCTATTATTTACATTAATCATTTATCAACCCTAATTGTTTTTGAAACTTAACACACTGAAATTTCGTAGAGTTAAATCTTACTGTATTTAAATTTTAACATGTAACTTTCTTGACAAACAAAATTTAACTAATAATAATCTTAAAAATTAAAAATTAAATTAATTTAATGACTAATGGGTCTTATTAATTTTATCTTTATTAATATTAATCTTATTAAAAAATGTGAAATATATATATAAAAATTAAACATTACTGAAATATTTCACACAATTGAAATTTCATGAAATTTTAAAATACTAGATACTAATGAAACACAATATGTAGCCTTTAATAATTCTTGTTGAATAGTTCTATGAATATTTGTGGAAATTGCTAGAATCGACTGATTTTGTTTTTTGCCAAGATAAAAAGTGTTTTAATAAAACACTTTTACTACCTAAGTGTTTTTCTACCTTTAATCTCAACTTCAGTGATGTGATATGCTAATGCTGGTGAGTATTTAGCTTAAAGTGCAGCTAAATCTTAGAAATGTTCTCTATTATTTTCTTCTTTACCCTTTTTGTGTCCACGAAAAGAGAAAAAAATGTCTGCCAAAAAATAATGTTATGTCTAATTATTTCTTTATTGTGTGCTATATGTGTTTTAGAATTTTCTACTACGAATGGTATTAACGGAAAACTTTTGTTGGGAAAATCATTTGAAGAAGTTTGAGAAGGACCATTTTTAAAATATAAATCAATAAGCTCAGGTTCGAGATCATTTAAGTGACTAAAAACTGCCGGATAATTTCCAAATCTTAAAACTAAAATTAACTCTATTAATAAAAATGTATTTAAAACAAATTTATTTATTCATACTTTCATTATCAATTGATTTGTTTTATTCAATACTGCTGCTATTACCAATATCAAGTAAATTTGCAATATTTGTATCTTTAGCATTAAGTATATCAGTATTATTTGGTGATTCTTCTTCCATTTCAAAATTCAAAGAAACATTTGTACCTGTATTAAAATTTGAAATTATATTTAGTAGTTTATATTATTTTTTGTCCAATTAATCAATAGACTGACAGCAGTAATTTAATTTTAAAAAATATATAAAGCCTATTTCATAATTTATTAAATAAATAATAAAATAGTTATTGTATTATTGGATTATGCACAAAGTTAACATGAAAAAATATGAATTTGTACTATAGTTAAATTATAGAAAATAATAGCATGTCATAAATTTCTAATAATAAAAAAGTTATTGAATAAGAGCAACAATTGTCAATTTTGCTTTCATTAAATTTAAAAAACTAGATTGTAGATATACCTTCAGAAGCTACTAAATCCATAACATTTAAAACACTATTTGTTTCATAGAAGCATTATTATCATGCAACGTAGTAGCATTGTCAACAAATGAATAAATTTGAATACTTAATAACAAAATTTTAATGTTCTTATAAATTTACTGGATATATAAAAATTAATTTATGTTAATTTTGTAAACAATTGTTATAGTATTGTTATATTGCTATATAATAGGTAAATTATTTATACTATTTTTATCGGAAATCTGATTAATATTACATTAATTGTATAAAAATTGAATACAATATACAAATAAGCTTAAGGACCTCTCTTGTTATATAATTTAACACCAAAAACATGCCTGAACCGAATATACTAGGTATTATATTCAGAAAAATATTTACTTACCAAAAATAAAACAATGAGACACCAAATTATTATGCTCTTTACGTTCAGTATGATTTTCTTAAAGATATTTTATATATCTTATATATACGATATTTGAAATTGTAATATCTTCACTTTTGACCAAGAATTGAAAATCATTAATTATTATTTATTGTATATTAATTACATCATTAAAAAGAATGTACCTAGTAGGTACTTGAATTATAATTAAGTTCGAAAATTAAAGGACTTGTTCTCTTGTAAAAATCAATCAAGCCTAAAATCAAAATAAATTGGTTATTTATATAGATATATGATACAAATGAGTTAGACAAACATTAATTTTATTCTCCTGCCACTGGAAAATAGTAAAAAAAACTTAATTTAAAAATTATGAACATAAAATGGATTTTTTTTGGAAACAATCAATAGTTAAAATATGTTTTATTATGAATTATGAATTACACGTTTATGAGTAAAAAAATTAGAGACGTCGTTTACGATATTCGACTTTTTCAACCTTGCAATATTACAGAATGTTAAATGTCTTTTGTAATTGGTTTCATTTAGTGACAATATTTTTTTACCACATAAACAAATTGAAGTAGACAATATTTTATATTTAATGTTTAGTAAAAATCCGTGATTAATGAGGGTTTACTGTATATTGGTAAATAGTAAGGGTAATTATTTCAATAGTATATTTCTATCTACCAAAATAGTTTCTGTCGATAATATCGGGTAATACGTAATTGCTATTAAATGCAGTACATTTTGTTATAACTAATCTAAAAATAATATTACACATAATAATATCGGGAGAGTACAGACCACAAATTAAAAATATCTACTTGTATAGTCTCATTAGAACACTGTTTTATTATTATAATATGATATATTTTTATTATTTAGTTATTATTTTCATACTATATTGGTATACAAATACATTTATATATATTTTATTATTACTTAATTCTATAATATAATATAATTACTATTCAGACTATAGTAAACACAACTCCTTAGTTTATTCTTAATTTGTAATTTATATTAATAAGCTCAAAATGTTTTTACAAAACAAAAATGTGCAGGAGTCATGGAGAAACCAGAAACTTTTACAGCATGACGTAGGTAGTTATTTTGTACACTATACCTACGCTGTATTACTACGCTTACGTTGATAATGTACTGATTTTAATCGTATTAACATATTTTTAGATATAACATATTTATTTAATTTATATAAGTACTTTATTAATCCTTCAGTATGTACATGCATAATAATAATACCCATCCACTCCTATGTGACTTCTGTTACACATATATAGTGTATTCAGCGCTACTGACCAAGACGTATCCAGCCATTCAGTACTGACGCTTCGTTTATATTTGTCATTTTCATGTTACTCTATCTTCGTTGATTCAGTTAACTTAATAAACTCCAACAATATATTTACAAGTATTCCTGTACGTTTATTATTTTCTATACTTACATCTTCATAACTTAACATTGTGTAACCGTGTTAAATGAAAATTTAGAATTAGTAGACATTAAAATAGAGTATATAGAGTATCACTTTGGAGGAAGATATTTAATCAACACAAGTTGAGGGTATGAGAAGACCAATAACAATAAGTAGTTATGTGCAGGGCTGGATTTAGGAATGTGGGGGCCCTGGGCCTACACTTAGAAGACGATTTATTTTTAATTACACATTTTTAATAACCAAAATTCCAAATGTTCAAAATATTGATGAGGAAAGAACAATGATTTGTTGTGATGAAACAATAAAGGTAATAAATTTATGTAAATATATACTTAAAAGCTCGCTACTAATTTTTATGCAATTAAAATACATAAATATATTAGGTAATAGTTATTAAATATTAATAATAACATATATTTATAAATTTATGACAATATCAATAATTGAACATTTTTATTCAAGTTGTAATTTAAATCTATTTTGCAAATGTTATATTGTGTTTTATACTTGGATGCAAAAAAAACATATTTAATGGAGGCCCTAATTTTTTGTGATCTGGGCCCCCTTTAAATCCGGCCCTGGTGATGGTGATAGGTGAAGTCGAGAACTTTAAATATTTTGGATAATTTGTACAAAAGGATGGAGGTTTTGGCATGGATGTCCGATTCTTAGGCGATTTAAATTGGTTTCTTCCTTTCAATGGAGATTAAGGTTACCTTAACCGAAGGTTATTGTCTTAATTTGGTTATTAAATGTATTTGAAATGTGGCAATAATATTTGTACAAAACTTTTGAAACCCATTTATAAAATATCTAGAGATTTACGGTTTTATTGAGAATAGAAGGGAAGCCGGAAGGTGCAATGATTACTCTTAAATCAACATTTATATTTAACTAAATAACTATTAGTACTATTTTTTTATTAATTATAAATAGGTACTTATTTATATTATTTTATTATATAATTATATTATTTATATGTATCATATGTATATATAAATATTATATCGTAGGTAGTATACGTACTGAGACAAGTTTTTTCGAAAATTAATTACATACTGGTAAAATGAAATGAAATATTATAATTTAAAGTTTAAGGTATTTATCTATTTAAAGTATTATAAGTACTATTACGCACATTATACCTTAGATAATTTCATTTTTAAATGTATAAATACATTTTAAAATACCTACCTACTTTGATATTCAAAAAGAAAAATGAAATGTGTTAACTGTTTACATATTATGATCGCCATCAGTTGTAGTATAAAACGTATAATTTTGTTTGATGTATAATTTCAATTTAAACAGAACCGTTGATGTAGAGCCTTTATGTAGTACTAAAAATAATTAGTATAGATGTATGTAACACAAAGCGTATACTTCCATAATATAATATCATAAATTATTTAAACATTTACTTACCGTCGTTTTATTATTATAGTTTTGGAAAATTAAGTATTTATTATTTGCAGTACAAACAATCTAAAAGTTTAGAAATTCTTTTAATATTGTACCTGTATCATTTTCTTTTAAAAATTATTATCTGCAATGTATTCAGTTACAATGTATTATTAAGTTCATAATTTTTTTTTCAAAATTATATTACGCAGTACATAACCAATGGTAATGTAGGCTTTTTTATACACTCCAAGGCCGGCGAAAGCTATGGGTGACCCGGGCGATTGCCCAGGGCGCCAGCACGAAAGGGGCGCCAAACTGAAAATTGTTTTCATCTAATTTAGCTTTAAATACGCATTAACGATCTACAGGTAGTAAGAATATAACAGTTGTGCTTTCTACTTCATATAGGTACTGTATCCATACAGCGCTGGTTTTGATGTAAAAATAATGCATGGAAATATGCCACCACATTTGTCTGTGTAAATAAATAGATGGTCGTAATATTTATTTTCATAAAATATTTACCCGCTTATAAATCAATTCATATAACTAGACGATTACGTAAAAGACGCGGTGGTAAAACCGTTTGGACCTTACGGTGAAAATACCGCGATGTGTGGCGTACCTAAATCAAAAAGACACAGTTGCCCAACACACACGCACTATTTATTATTTTCGACGAGCTCTCGCTACGTACGATCTACCGTGTAATGTCAAATGTTTAAACTAACAAGTTACAGTTAACAGGTAATCAGTATTTATATTTTTGTTTAGTTATTTTCTACATAATATTTTGGTTCCTTATTAGTTATTTACAATGAACTCTGTTATCTGGTTGTCTTAATAAATGAGCTGTTAGTGAAACACAGTATTCCTATATTGTAGGCAGTGGCGGCGTGAAATAATATATTCTCCGAAAAAACTTTCAAAAAGTAAAAAACGCCAAGCTCAAAATTAGAACTATTATATTCTTGCAACGAAAAAATAAAAACCTGTCCAAAAAATGCGTTGATATAATACTAAGTTGTTATACTAAATATGTACTAATTTTATTTAAATTCACTAAAAACTTTATTTTATTTCTACTCAAACTAAGTGGGTTGGAAGGGGGGGGGTTCAAGGGCGTCAAAACACGGTTTCGCCCAAGGCGCTAATACTTCTATCGTCGGACCTGTATACCTCTTCATAATAATTCATAGGTACCTATAATTAATAATCCAACTTTGAATATGGTACTGTGGCATATTCGGAGGGGAAAGCTCCCCGCCCCCCTTGACCCATTTTTGTGAATTTTAATATTAAGTGCATAATTATTAAAGATTAAAGTATATTTTATAGATGGAAATAAAAATATAATACGTTATTTTCCGATAACTATGATTCGACGAATTACAAATTACCAGTAATTTACACAATTCCTCACTATGTATGGGTAATATATAAAGATAATAATAGGTTTTTCTAGTAGTCTTTCAACTTGTCATTATATTTTATCAAAATTAATATGGTAGTCGAGAGGATCATCAAGCCTCAAAGGAAACTTGACAAAAACATATAACAAAATAAACTAAAACAAAATAAAAATTTAACAAACCCCTCGATGTTAAAATTTTTTGCTAATTATCTTGTTCACTAACGATTTAATTGTATATTATTAGTATAGTATTACTCAAAACAAATTCTAATTACCGAGATTTGGCAAACTACTAGTACTCTATGAACTGTACCCGTCCTGATTTCACGAATGTTTTATCAAAATTATGTTATTTGATACACAAAATCTAATTCAAAAACATATAAACTATTGGTCACACTGTATCATGCATAATGAATGATGATTTTTTAAAATGTAAAATATTATCACAAGCGATAAGATATAAAATCAGAATTGGCTAGTTTAGCTGTTTTGGGTACCTATTATACAAACCGTAAATTAGTTTTTATGCTACAGGCTTTAGTAGATAAGCCTGTCAGTTCTATTTGGTTTCATAATTGCCTCCAAAAGTAATTTCTTTTATTAATATTGTCAAATAGTTTCAAGTTTTTCAGTCAAGATGCCAGTAGCTGAGGATACTTTGTCAATATCTGATGTGATATATCAGCTACAAGATTATTCTCCTACCGTAAGAAAATATGTTAAAAACTATATTGTAATTGTATTTTATTGTGATTTATTAATGATGAATTTCATCTATTTTTACAGATACCAGATTCCATTACTACTGCTGTATGTTCAGAAGCTGGATTTGAAACTAATGATCCGCGAATGTAAGCGAATATATTCATATAAATATTACTAAAACTCAAAATAAAACTATATTTTTATTTAAATCATAAATCATTAAAGTAATAGTTTATGTATTGATTTTTTTTTCAGAGTTAATATTTTTTTTACTGATTATTAACTATAATTCATTATTTTATTAATTTTATCAATATCATAAATGTATTATTGATTCATTATTATAAATTATTAAGAATATGTTCTTATATTTTCATCAATAATATATTGATAATTTAATCTTTAACAAACATTAAATAAACTGTTCTATTATTTGATAATCCGATGATATCAATTTAACCCTCCACGGATAAGTAGTAAGAAATGGGCATGCAAAATATGCTGATTTAAAAAAATTGACTAAAATTGTAAAATGATACAAGTTCAATATGTAGAACTTGACACATATGAACATTTACTATTTGTTTAGTTGTATATAAAATAACATATTTTATAACAATATACATTTTTACATTATAAAAATAAATAAAATTATAAAATTCATGAAAAAAAAAACCCCTTGTCTGTAGAGGGTTGAAAGAAATAAAATATATTCTATTCAGGTATACATTTTAACTGTAATTTTGTTTGTTAAACAATATTTATAATTGTATAACAATGCATGATATTTTAAGAATATTTATCTGAACTTCAGGCTTTCAGTCAACTTTTGTCACAGTATACATTACTGTAAAAATGTATTGTATGTTCTTAAATGATTATTTGTCTAGACTACAAGATTGAAAATTCCAAAATAATATATGTAATGTATTTTATATTTTTATAAATTTATACATATAACATGTATCTATACTCCGTTTCAAAACATAATATACTAAGCGTCAAATAGTTTTCATCTGGCGGCAATAATTCCTTTATGATAATAACTGATGAAAGGTGAAAATAGAAGTCTGCATGAGAATGATATATGCAAAACCGATATATATTCTTTATTATAACTGAGTATAATACTTTTTGATCTTATGCAAATTTAAATGTAATTATTTTACAAATAATTTTGAGGTATATTTTAAGTCATTAGTTTAATTTATATTCGATTAAACTAAATAAAGATTACAATTATCCTCTAATTAAAAATATATGCATAATTATTTATTTGTTTCAGAATACGATTGATATCAATTGCTTCTCAGAAATTTATTGCTGATATAGCTAATGATGCATTACAACACTGTAGAATGCGTGTGGCTACTATGCCAACTAAATCTGGGAAAGTACCTAAAGACCGTAAATATACGTTAACTATGGAAGATCTAACACCAGCACTCAATGATTATGGAATAGTTGTTCGAAAGCCTCCATATTTCGTCTAAATTTTACTGTACATCTATATTTTATAAAATATAGTTTTTATTTAAAAATATTTTACTCTTTACTTTTTTTTATTAGTCATAAGTATAGTAAAAATTTTATTTCAGTAACAAGTGATCAATTGTATTAATAATAGAAAAGTTTTCCAAATTACATTAAATATTTTATTTATTACATTTTACTTTTGAACTTTTGGTTTTAGTTTAGGTTAGATTATGAATAGCTAAATAATATTAATTTACTTGATTTTACAATACGATAAATGTACAAGTTAAAATATTATATTAATTAATAAATTATAAACCTTTTATTCAAATTACAGCTCATAGATTGAATATTTATTTGGACTTAAGTATTTGTGTAGAGGAACATGGTCATATTAATCAGGTTGATTTAAAAGGAAAACTAATATTAAAATAATTTCTAGTACTAACACAACTGATAACTATAACGAAAAAATATGGATATTAATTATAATTAAAATATTATTTATTACCCACACTATAGATAATATACAATTTTATTCAATTATTAAGATTTCATGTTGATACCGATTTATATATTTTATGTGTTTTCCAAGTGCTAACTCTGTTTAATCCTAGTTCACAATTGTGTTCATTCTATGTGACAAGGGCGAAAATAGTAATTGTATGATACTTATAAAAAATTATAATATAGTATATTATAATTATAAAAAATCACTAATACTGATGTTATTTTAATCATTGTGTTCTTTTATCAATTTTTTTAAAATTTAAACTCCCGAAGAAGTCTAATAGAAAAAAAAAACATTTTCTAATGAAGAAATTTAGAAAAATGCTAACGTTTTTAAAAGAAATTTTTCTACAGAACAACTTAAATCAGACATTGATACCTATGCCAAAACCTACATTATCGTCAGAGAAGAAAAAATATCTGTTGATTATAGTATACTTTTTATAAAATATTACATCATAAACTGTAAAATTTATGATAATGTTATTAAGTTCAATCAAGAGTTTTATTTTAAAATATATGTCGGTTCTTTAATTTGTTTTGAAATCTATAATATTTAAAAAATGCACCGTTTATTTTGTATTACATTTATAATTGTTTATTGTTTTTCGATTGTTGTGGTATTAATGACTTGTACACTTACTTCAGTGTTTGTGGCAGTATTGATTAAACAATTATATATAGTAAATCAGTAAATTTAATAACTTTTTTGAAATCACCAGTAGAAAAAAATCAAATTTCTGGCAAGTTAAATGATATTCATATTCTGTATATATATGTTGTACTAAGTTGGTTATTACTTGAAGATAATAAAAAATTATCAAATTTTACAAACTCCTAACCTAGTAAGAAATATAATTTTTTTGTTTAGATTTTAATTAATGTAAGTCTTGCAACAAGACTAAGACTTGAATTGCAAGACCAAGACTACAATGGCTCTGCAAGAGAAAGACCAAGAATGAGTCTGCAAGAATAAAACTACCATAGTCTTGGTTTTGGTTTGCTCATCACTAGTTGAAGTAGTAAAAGGGCTGTTAAAAATCTTATTAATATTATAGACTCTATAATATAGAGCAGTGGTGTCCAACCCGCATGTGGCCCGTGAAGTTATTCTGTATGGTCCCTTACAATTTTCTAAAATAAAAAAAAATTTTAAAAATGTATGAAAAATTTTTTAATTTAAATTTATGAATTCGTTTAAATAATTATTCTAAAAAATACAATTATAATCATATTTGGAGTACCGTCTGTTGTTATGCAACTTAAATTTCCCCAATCAAGCCTAAGATTTTGAAGACAAAGATTTACTTTTTCAAATATATCAGCTCCTGTTGTTCGATCATGCATACTTTCCAAAGAAGCCAACTCCTCTGTTACATTTAAATTAATATCAATGCCACGAATAATTATAAACAGTTGAACAGTATCAGTAACATCGGTACTCTTATCTAGTGCTAGCGAAAAATATTTGAATTCTCGTGATTTGTTCTGTAATTGTGTAACTATGTTATTTCCTATATTTTCAACACATTTGGTAATTGCGTTTTATGATAAACTTATATCTTTAAAAAGTTCTAATTTTCAGATATTATTTCTTCAACCACAGTTAAAATACATTTTTTTATAAAATCACCATCATTGAGAGGTTTTTTTTTTCACTAACTATTAAATTCACTACTTTATAGTTCGCTTGTACAACATTTATTTTAATCGAATTTTGTTGTTTAAATAAATTTAAAACATTTTGTGTGTGGATATTTTTTTTTGAATGCTTCTAATTTAGTAACACGTAATTCTCCTAATAAAATAATATATTGGTACTATATTAAGTTTTTATAACTAAATTATATTGAAAATAATTGCTTACCTTTTAAATGGGCAAATTTATCTTGATGTTTTGATTCATAATATCGTTTGATATTAAATTCTTTAAAAACTGAAACCGTTTAACGACATACAAGGCAAACGGCTTTTCAATTAATTTCAATGAAAAGGTAATTTATAGACCATTTTTCATCAAAAATTGGGCAATATTCAATATATTTGTGTTTTTTCTGTCTGATATTTTCATACGGAAACTTTACAATTACATATCGATATCACCCATGTATTTAAAATAACGTACTGATCAAATTAATGTGTACATCAATTCATATTTTTTTCTATAGACAGTAAAAGATTAGAAAACAAGTCCAATATATATGATTATTTTTGTACTTTTATACTTTGTGGTACGCTTGAAGATAATTATTTACCAAAGTGGTCCGCCAAAGGAAAAATGTTGAGCATCATTGATATAGATGATCATGTTCTTAAAAAGATTGAGAACCGCTGTTCTAGTTGGTTTTTAAAATATAAATTTTTAAAAAAATTTAACATTTACACTTATTTAATTTTTATTTGTAACACATTAAACATTGTAACAAATTAAAAGTCGGTGGCTAATGATTTTTTATATGCGTTTCTTCATAAATTATGAAAAAAATATTAACTCTATAAATGACCAAGCATTTAATTTAAAATATGTGTCCAGGTATACGTTAGACAAAAAGATCCATTGAAGGAAAGTACTTTTGACAGGAAGATGAATTTTATTTCGGCATTTATTTTATACAAAAAACTAATTTTAATTTAATTCAAATGCGTCTTCCTTACTTTGCTACATCCTTGGCAACCACCCATTTCGTTAACCTCTAGTTGCGACGCTGATTATTAATATCGTAATACTATTCCATTAGTAATTAATATAGTTCGAGATTAATAAATTATTATTGTCAACTGATCAATGGACTTCTTACGGATCATTGATGTGGTCTCTTGAGAACTGTTTACACATAGTTATTTATTACTGTATACTATAGCCGATATTACCTTAGTATTACGGCTATACAAACTCTGGGGTATTTCAGAGGGCACAAAATCCCTTTTGGAATTTACTTCTTTGAAAATAGTTATCTTTGGCCTACGTCCATCAAGTGTTCGTGCCTTGTGGGTATGTGTCAAAGCGAAAGTATTGTCAAAAAAAAAATTCAGGGAGGGTATTTTTATAATTAGAATTATTTAATATAAATTTATACTCATAATTCTGAATAAAATATTGTACAATTATGAAACAATCTATATTTTATTTATATATATTTTATTTATATATATATTATTTATATATATATTTCTTATGTATCTATATATTTGTATATACAATTAACATCGTATAAATTGCGGTACAATAGTAAAACATAACAGTAAAAAACTTAAATATCAATATTGAATTATTTTAACGATATTTTCTTCAATATACAAAGTGTTCCAAATTCAAATTTCCAGAATATTTATGACTCAGTTTAAAAGCACAAAACCGCAAATGTAAATTATATTTTCTGTCTATGTTATCCGGATATTTATTTTTAGGCTAAAATAATAAACAAATTTATATACATACATATATTATTACTTATTATATTATAACTATTGTTTATTACGGAATAAGTTATCATAATTTCTTATTTTTGAGACCGTTTAAGTTAAACGATTACCTACTCACAGATAATTAGACAAAATATTATAATTATTCATAAAAAACTTTTTATTGAAAAATATTCATTACATTCTCCCAAGTTGTCAGTTTATTTCAGAGCATGATAATTAACATTTTTTCTATGTACCTATACGTTTAACATTAATATAATATTAATACATTACACATGTTTTTAATCGGTATTTTTGATTGGATAATATTGATAATACTCCCATTGATTATTTTGATGTATAAGTGGTCTGCTTTTAAATAAAATTAACGTTAATCCATTTCGAATATTTATGAATTCAATACCTATGTTATAGAAATATATCAGCAATAAAAGCAGTTAGCTTAGCATAATTTGTTAATTATTATTTTACATATGTATAGAGTGGATTTTAATTTTGTATAATTAACCACTGCAGCTTACAGGACAGAAATGTCTGAACAAATATAAAATGTTATATTTCATAAAATTTGCAGTATCTGATAAATTAATATCATTGTATAAATAATTAAAAAATATGGCAAAGGATAATTTATTATTAATACTGTAAGTAGTTTTGAGTAGTAAAATAGATTGTTATAGGAACAACCCTCGCCATTCTATAGGATTTCATACAGCCCGGTTTATAACTTGTCTACTGAACTTTATAGTGCCATAGTAATATATAAGCAATTAGTGTAACATTGGTTGTCGCAACATTATTTAAAGTCTTAGTTGCTAATAGTCCTTTGTACTCTATAAGTCTAGATGACGGAACTCAGTTGTATGCCTTCGCTAGATATTAGATACTATTGCCAATGATACAAATTATACTCCTGCCAATGATTTTAATCTTATATAATTTACTATCATGTTTTCATTTTTACGTAAAATCATAAGTTATAGTTTCATAAAAATAAATATTTTTTTACCTATTTTTATTAATAATACGAATAAAATACTTTTTTAAATTCATTAGATAGTATACTTTAATAATTATTAAGGTTTTACTTGACTGTGTTTAGGTGTTATTTAAAGGTATACTAATATAATT